AGTTATTCTATCCATGCAATTTCCTTCAAGCAAGAAAAGGAAAAACTTCTCTGGTTCTGATAAGAAACATTCAAAAAACAAGAAGGGAATGGATAATGAAACTTTTGAGTCAGTTGCCCGCCCTCTTGCAAAAGTGAGATGGTTCCGAGTTGTACTGGATGAGGCACAGAGTATAAAGAATCACAAGACACAGGTTGCAAGGGCCTGCTGGGGTCTGCGAGCAAAACGTAGATGGTGCTTGTCAGGAACTCCTATTCAAAATGCTATTGATGATCTTTATAGCTATTTTAGGTTTCTCAAATATGATCCCTATGCTGCATATAAGTCATTTTGTTTATCAATTAAGGTGCCAATCAACAAGAATCCATCCAAAGGGTACAAGAAACTTCAAGCCATTTTAAAGACAATAATGTTACGTCGCACAAAAGGTGAGATTGTTTGAAACTTCTGTTTATCAATTACATGCAGTTCAAGTTTGGAATTAAATACAATAATGCGTTATCTTTGGTTTTCTTCAAAAGTTCAACACTTTTTTTTCTTATCGCTACTTTTAAACTTGACTGAAGAACTGGATTTATATTTTTTCTTTAGGGTGGGAGGATCTCTCCTTGGCTATGGTTTGATTTACGTGGCCTCTTCATTTATTTTATAGATTATAATATAGTTAATAGTCTTTCTGATTTTTGGTGCCTTGCTGATGTTTGGGAAATTCTCCAGTTGTACATACAGGCATTTTTTTAAAAAATTTATCTTAAAATGGAAAAAACTTGATGGTGCTCTTGAATCATGGAAAACTTTGTTTTCTTTGCATTTGCACGAATTTTTTAGTGTTATATGAGCTTACCAATTTTTACTTGAATCGCTCTATGGTACTTGTGGTGTAGGCACACTTCTTGATGGGCAACCCATTGTTACGTTGCCACCTAAACAAGTGGAACTAAAAAAAGTGGATTTTACCGAGGAAGAACGTGATTTCTACTCTAAGTTGGAGGCTGACTCAAGGGCTCAGTATGAAGTATGTTTTTTTCAAAAGGAATTATTTATATTGTGTTTTGTATTCCTTGTATGCATGGAACTTCAGTTACAATATCTAATGACCTCTTGCTCCTTTCTATCATTACTAAGTAAGAATCTTATCCAGGAATATGCAGCAGCCGGAACTGTTAAACAAAATTATGTTAACATCTTATTGATGCTTTTGCGCCTTCGACAAGCTTGTGATCACCCTCTTCTCGTTAAACCTTACGACTCCAAATCTTTATGGAGATCTTCAGTTGATGTGGCCAAGAAGCTTCCTCGGGATAAACAGATTTACCTACTGAGTTGTTTGGAAGCATCATTGGCTATTTGTGGCATCTGTAATGTATATCATCTGCCCATTTATTATTTTTTATGTGAAATTTTCTTGTGGACTTTTACTGTATGTTAACATGGTTTAGTGCATGTCAATTAAGTACCACAATGAAGAAAATAATTGAACAGCTTTGGTTATCTTTTGCTTAAGATACTAAGTACAAAGCATGAAATTTAATGCCACCTTTTAGCTCTTTTAATTGTTGAACATAAATTGAGATACTCTGTACCATTGTTGTTCAATATGTGGCATTCTCACCTCAAAAACCTCCGCTTGGGATCTGCCTGATGCTTTCCAATAATGTAAGAGATGTATGACATGTTTACAATATAATACTCATGTGAAAAGGAGCTTTTTGGTTTCCTTTTGTGTCTTCGTCATTTCTGACATTTTTGCAATTCCACTTTTATCTTCTCATTATTTTAACCAGAAGTTTTCATTCCTGGTTAAAAACTTTTTGGATTTTCCTATGTTGATCTATATATTTGAAACGGGCAAGGTGAAGAAAGAGCTGTATCTTTACCGTTCTTTTTTACTTGCACCTCATGAACATATTTACCTCACCTTTGCTAAATGCGAACACAATGCTTATATCTCAAGGTTCTCTTTGTTTTCCTGTAACCTTTCCTTTATCTGGTAAGCGATAAGCGATACCTTTTTTTTTTACTCAAACTTCTGGGATTATATCTGTAGGATCCACCTGAAGATGCGGTTGTCTCAGAATGTGGTCATGTTTTCTGCAAGCAATGCATTTTGGAACACCTCTCTGGTGATGACACCCAGTGTCCTACAGCGGGATGCAAAGTTCGTCTTAGTGCATCGTCATTATTTTCCAAGTCCTCATTCTCCATTTCTCAATCCGACCAGCTTGGTGAGAATAATTCTGTGGTTGGCTCTGGTTCTACTTTTGGTGACTCTGTGGAGCCCTCCTCATCAGATACGTACGAGTCTTCTAAAATTAAAGCTGCTCTTGAGGTTCTCATGTCACTAGCTAAACCTAAGGAATCCTCTTCAAGAAACAGCCCTGTCCAACTTGCTCCTGATGTAGCCAGTGAAAAATCGACCGATGCTCCATCCACAGAAATGCATCCAGAGATTCCTGAGTGTCAAGATTCAGCTACAAACAAAAGCTCTTGTGAACCAATTAAAATGAGTGGAGAGAAAGCTATAGTATTTTCTCAGTGGACGGGAATGTTAGACTTGCTGGAAGCATGTCTCAAGAACTCCTCTATTCAGTACAGAAGGCTTGATGGTACCATGTCAGTACTTGCTAGAGATAAAGCAGTAAAGGATTTTAACAATCTTCCGGAGGTTTGTCAAATGATGCTACGCTTCAGTATTTTCATAAATTTCATAATTTCGTTTCCGTAGTGATAGGAATACTGCATGTTTATTTTTACTTTACTAGTTTTACATGTTGATAAATATGGTTCAGTAACTTCCCTTTCCATATAATAGGTGTCTGTTATGATTATGTCTTTGAAAGCTGCTAGCCTTGGCCTAAACATGATTGTTGCCTGCCATGTTCTTCTGTTGGACCTCTGGTGGAATCCTACAACTGAAGATCAAGCAATTGATAGAGCACATCGAATTGGGCAAACCCGTACTGTTAAAGTGTTGAGATTGACTGTAAGAGATACCGTTGAGGATCGTATTTTAGCACTTCAGGTACCGATCATCTGGTTCACTTTTAATTATTTATTTGAGAAGCTTTTAATTATACTGGATTGATCTAAATCCAGTCTTACTCATGCAGTTGTGTAGTTAAGTGTGTGGTGCAACTAAATAAATTAAAGGGATTGATTTTGTCGCACCTAAATCTGGGACCTAAGAAGTGAATGACACTTTGTTTGGGTAACGTGCTCACGCATAGAGTTGGACACTCCCAGTACTTGTTAGACACGTACTGGGCACTCCACACATTTGTTAGACATGTAATGAACACTTGCTAACACAATAGGCGCGTGTCATATTATAGTTGTACAAAGTGAATATGGATTCAACTTTTGTTAGGCATTGTACACTTCCTAAACCTAATAAATAGACCTAAACAATATTATAGGACAGGAGTAATAAATTTTAAGAGTGATTTCGTACATAACATGAGACTTTGAATTTCTTTAGTGTAAACATGGTATATATTTTAAAAGTTCATATTTTAATTTCTTTCTATGAGAAATTGATCATCATTGAGAATGATAAAAGGGTATTCAGGGGGCTGCATTTTTCTTAAAGGACAACTGATCATTGTGTCTGTATTGGTGTCGTATATATGCTACTTAGGTTGGACAATATTTCTGTCTAAAAAAATTATGTCCAACCTAATTGGCCGGGTGTTTGCACCCATATTTGTGTATGCACAACCACATTCTTGAGAAATGGTTGGGGGCAATAACATCATATGAATTGTCAACAGAATGTCGAGGAATCTTTAAATTCTTTAGAAATGTTCTTTTGTGTGTTATCTTACATGAAATTAATCTCCATGCCCGTTGTTGCACAAGTTAATAATCAGGAAACTCGTGTTATGAATGCAGCAAAAGAAAAGAGAGATGGTTTCATCTGCATTTGGAGAAGATGAAGCGGGCGGGCGACAAACTCGTCTCACAGTAGAAGACCTGAACTACCTTTTTATGATGTGATGATAGATAATACGACCATTCTTTGGTATTGGCTGATTTAGGCTAACATCATATGCACATATCATATCAAGTTTTGGGTGGTGAAGGCTGGCTTTAACTTTAGGAAGTAAGTTGCCCCACCATATTTACATCATCTTGACCAGAGGATTTGACGACTCAGCTCCTTTTGCCAGAAGAAGATTTGTGAATAGCATTTATAGAAATCTTTAAATTCCATTTTTACCCACTGATTCTTTTCTCACTCACTCACAATTTGATGATCCCTTCCCTTTGTGACACTCTCTTTGCATCCCCTTCCCTGAGTGTATTCCACAGGCTGTAAAGATTAGAAATTTATAGAAAGGAAAGAAAATTAAATCTGTTAAAACACTCTTTTCTTTTCCAATTGTAAAGATATAGATAGTATTATTTTGTGCTCTTGAGTATCATCATCCTTTATATTAATAGTAGTGTTAGTTTGATTGAAACCACTGTTTGATTGAAAGGGCTGAATTCAGGCCCTGTTCTTTTCAATTCCTTATCCTAAATTCCCATAGCCTAAATCATAAGGTTCGCCACAAAGTCCTGAGAAATTGCCTGGGCGGGCAGCCAAACGTGAGCTTTAGCCTCTATGCTGGCTGTGTCGCCGTCGACCAAACCAAGGGTAGAGTTTTCGTTATTTATTTAAAATCTCGAATATTTTCTTAAGAAAGATGAAACCCATCGTAAAGAAAGTGCAAATTTCAGGTCCTGGGTGTTCCTCAGTGGGCTATGGTGCAACAGAAGAGATTGGACCTTCATGGAATCAAGGCATTTCAATTGTTCATCTGTTTTGGTAACTATTTCGATTGTTGGGTAGAAGTATCTTGTAGATTTGGCTATGATTTCAAGACAGATTTTGATGGATCGATGATGAAGTCGCAGTATAGATTTTGATGAAAATTGAAACCCAGTTTTTGTACGTTTGCAAATGAAGAAGCGAACGAACATGGTGATAGCAGAATCTCTTATTGTAGACACAAACAAAGACAACGATTCATCCTTCCATATCAGGAGGCTGCATGCCATTTTCTTATTCTGTTCTTCCTTGCAATCCGTCCCAGAGCCACAATCACAAACTATCTGTGTGTATACTTAATGATTTCTGCTGTTTCATTAAAATCTAATAGACTTGTCGAATGAACAAATATGAAGAAAGGTTTTGGATCATCATCATCATTATTCACTGGCCTCCAACATCTTCCTCACTGCATCTGAAGCATTGGTTAGCAGCTCCGACCAATCTCTGCATGCCAAACAAACAAAATCAGGACAAAATTCTGTTCTTGTGAACAAAAGAAAAGAAAAGAAAAGAAAAAAAAAACACACCCATTTGTAGAATCGAAAGATAGGCCAACAGTCTCCTTAGCTTCATCAAGGGCCCAAGCGAAGCACTGGAGCGTAGAGCTTCTATCACTGGGAACTCGGAGCTGTGAGGGCTTCATATCGCAAAAAATTGGCACAATACACTTGCTGGTTCGGTACATAAGAGCCAGCTCGTAGAGGCAGTAATAAGACTCACAATACCGCGGCGAGAAAACTGGCAATCCCACTCTGCAGGTTTTGACGGCGGCGCTGATTTTGTCCATGATGTTGTCGCCTGGGGACAAGGATTTGTAGTCCAGAAATGGGCGCAGCTGCCCCACGTGGTAGAGGTGATCGTACAACAGTCCGGCGATGGTCCGTCTTGTATCGGTTCCACGGTAGCTGATGAAGACGTCAAATGGGGGTTGGTTTTTGGTTGAAATCACTTGCCTTTCGTTCAATTTTATTATGCTGCCCTTGTTATAAACACCTGAAAGTTTGGCGCAGGCGTGCTTGGCCTTCGCCAGTATTGAGCGTTGCATCCCCATCTCTCTCCCTCTCTAGTGGAATGCATGCAATTTGGATTTTATATATATAGGAAATAATAATTTTCATACCTTTTCTATTTTTCTTTTTTTTTTCTAAAGAAAATCAAAAGAAAGAAAGGAAAATCATGTGAACAAAGTGAAAAATCCAAATTATATATGGAGTTTGTTTTTATAAAATACAATTTAAATAAGAAATAAATAAAAATAAAAGAAAACAGACAAGGAAAAGAAACGAAAATCTGGAAAAAGGAGAAACCAAAAACAAAATAACCTCAAAATAAGGAAAATTTCAACTTCAGGGGTAATATGGTAATTTTCTTATTTTATTTTATAATTTATTTAGTTATGTATGTGAGTGTTGTATAAGCAATATGATTACGTATAAGCGAGTTGCTTACTGAGTATATTGATATATTCACTCGTAATAGTTTTCCTTTCTTATAGGTGACACCTGAATATCAACCGATGATGATGGTGAGGGAGCTGGTTGGCTATAGAAACTGTTATCGGAGTATAAAAATGCATTATAGAGTTTTCGCCATGTCTTATTATATTTAATACTATTGATTTTCCAAACGTGAATTTTAGTTGTAATATTTTCGTAGCGTTTTAATTTTTTATTAAATGTTATTTCATGGGATCCTTAAATATTAATTTTTAAAATATTATTATATCTTTATCCCATTTTTTAGTTTTAGTTTTAATTTCGTTCTTAGGCTTTATTATGTTACAATTTTACCCTTTCATTTTGAATTTAGTTGTTCCTTTAGTCCCCAGATATTAAACACGTGGACTCTTGAGATTTTATTACTTACCAATTAATTTCAATATAATCCATTTAATTTATTATTGATAAAAAATTAGTGAGATTAATTAATTAACAATTAAATTTACTATATGACTCGAAGTGATCTCACTAAAAATTTCAAAGATAATCTATGAAATGTCAATAGATGATTTTTGTGCCGATAGACAATAAGAATTTGACCGATATTTTTTTAAAGATAATAGTAACTATAAGAATATTTTTATAATATTATAGAAAAGTGGGAAGGTTAGTAATAAAACTTTTTAAAATATAAAATTATTTTTGAAATTGTAATAAAAGTTTTTTTTTAATAAATAAAATAGAACTGTTTACGTTCGTCGGTTTAAGGTGGCGTCAGGAATCGAAGAAGGGAGAAAAGAGCGCCGTACAAAAAAGCAACGGTCAAAAGCGGTCGCTCAATGATACGAGGATAAAAATTGGTGTAAAAATTGAATATTTTTATTAGTTTTTTGGAGGCATTCCACGATTTGTTAGCATCAGAGAGATGGGTTTGGTCGGGTTCCAAGAAGATGGGAAGAAACAAATTTCATTGTCTACAACCAATGATGATTTTCATGACACTCGAAGATATGTTTTTACATGTGCCGTGTTTGCGTCGCTTAATTCCGTGCTTTTGGGATATGGTCTGTTCCCCTTCTCTATCTCTCTCTCTGTTTATTTCATTGTTCTTGTTGGTTGTTTAATGCAATTCTAGTTTGAATCAAAACCCAGATGTTGGTGTTATGAGCGGAGCAATAATCTTCATTCAAGAGGATCTGAAAATCACCGAAGTCCAAGAAGAAGTTCTTATGGGAATTTTGAGCATAATTTCGTTGTTTGGAAGCTTAGCAGGTGGAAAAACATCAGACGCCATCGGCAGAAAATGGACCATTGCTTTTGCTGCTATTGTCTTCCAGACAGGGGCTGCAATCATGGCTCTTGCTCCTTCTTTCAGCTTCTTAATTCTCGGCCGACTCCTCTCCGGTGTCGGTGTCGGTTTCGGCGTCATGATTGCCCCGGTATACATTGCTGAGATATCCCCCCCGGCTGCCAGAGGATCCCTGACATCTTTCCCTGAGATCTCCATAAACTTCGGAATCCTTCTTGGTTACATTTCGAATTATGTCTTCTCGGGACTCCCTGTTCATATCAGCTGGAGGGTCATGCTTGGCGTGGGAATAATCCCTTCAGCTTTGCTTGGTTTCACTCTTTTAAGGATTCCTGAATCTCCCCGTTGGTTAGTGATGCAGAACAGAATCGAGGAGGCTAGAATTGTTCTATTGAAAACAAACGAGATGGGTATGGATGTAGAGCAAAGATTGATGGATATTCAAAAAGCTGCAGCAATTGGGAGTGCCAATAAGTATGAATCAAAAGGCGTTTGGCATGATATCTTGAGCCCCACGCCTACGGTGAAGCGAATGTTGATAGCAGGCTGTGGGATCCAATGCTTCCAACAGATTACAGGCATTGATGCAACGGTGTATTACAGCCCGACAATCTTCAAAGAAGCTGGAATTCAAAGCAACTCCAAGCTTCTGGCAGCAACTGTCGCGGTCGGATTCACGAAGACCACGTTCATTTTGGTTGCTATTTTTTTAATTGACAGAGTGGGAAGGAAGCCTCTGCTTTACTTAAGCACGGTCGGGATGACAGCCTGCTTGTTTTGTCTGAGTATGACTTTGGGGGTTTTGGATCATGGAGAATTTGGGATTGTTTTGGCGATGTTGGCAATATGTGGGAATGTGGCTTTCTTTTCTGTCGGGATAGGTCCGGTGTGTTGGGTGTTGTCGTCCGAGATTTTCCCGCTGAGGCTGCGAGCGCAAGCGTCTGCACTCGGGGCGGTGGGGAGCCGAGTGAGCAGCGGGTTGATCACCATGTCGTTCCTGTCGGTGTCGCACACCATCACGGTGGCTGGAACGTTCTTTGTGTTCTCGTTGATTTCTCTGGTGTCGGTTGTTTTCGTTCACAAATGTATTCCGGAGACGAAGGGGAAGTCGTTGGAACAGATTGAAATGGTTTTCCAGAAGGGCGGAGGGGAACAAGAAGTCGGAATCGTAGAGATGGGTGACACGGAGAGACTAGTGCAGGAACAGGATTTGACCTTGACCGACACCTAAATTTCTTATTTAATTCTAAAAATTTTAGGTTTAATTTTTTTAATATTTTATTTTTTGTGATAAGATGTTTTATCATCTTTTTGAAGTAAAAAAAATAAGAAAATATTTTATCAAACTAAATTAAAAAAAAAAAAAAAACAAAACTTCATCTACTCCTTAATTTAGAAAAGAGTATTGAATTTAAATGTAAAATTATAATTTATTATTTATTAAAAATATACTGGTGTGGAAACATCGTTTTAAAAACTTTGAAGGGAAGCTTGAAAGCAAAAGCTTAAAAAGAATAATATTGCTTGTTACAAATAGTACCTGAGTTATGCACTGGACGGTGAGCCAGCGAAAACGCTGGGGTATAAAAGGGGTGGATTGTGAAATCCCACCTAGGAACGAAACATCTTGTAACAATATGGGAAAAACTTGAGGGGAAGTTTGTAAGAGAAAACATAAATAGTACAATATCTACTAGCTGGAGGGTGGAATGTGAGATTTCACATAGAAACGAAGCATTTCTAGTAAAAGTGTAGAAAAATTTAGAAAAAAAAAAAAGTAGAAAAAAAACAATAATATCTAGTAGCAGTGAGAAGTATACAAACCTTAAACTTTAAGAGATGAGTTACATGTAATAATTTATGACCCGACCTAAGTTGAATAATTAAAAAATATATTCCAATTGAAGAAGAGAATGAAATAATAGTCGGCAATTACGAATTACCCTTACAAAGAACTTATTTTGAGAAAACAAAAATAAAATTCAACAAGAAACTTAGCGTCGAAATACGTTTCGGGCATCTTAATTCACAGTCTGCCCTTCCTCAGCGCTCCACGATTCAGATCTCTCTCCCGCGTTACCTATCGGTGATCAAGCTCATTCAATCACTCTCTATTCGGCTCTTGAATCATTCTCTCCTGGTTTGAATATCTCTAACTGTTTCTTGTTTATCTCCCTCTCGGCATTGAATTCTAGTACTGGTTTTTGAATTTCGTGAGATGGATCTGGATTCTGCGCGGGGTTTTTGTTGCTTTTCTTGCCGATATAATCTGTATATTATATGTTTTCTGACTTGGATCTGCTGTAATTTGTGAACTTTTGGCTTTTCTCTGAATTGGCTCTATGGTTTTGACTCTTAATTTGTTATTGCAGTAGTTTGTGGGAATAATGAGAGTTCTGCTTCAGATCCCTTACTTCTTCTTCTTCTTCCCCTCCCCCATTCCCTGCGAATTTTGACCTGACCTCAAAAGAGTTTCTGCGGTCTAAGTCTTCCGTAGCAATAGAGTTTGAAGTGAAGTGAAATAGATATCATGGAAATGGTTAAAGATTTAGGGAAAATAATGTTGAACGGACTTTTTTTATGCATTCTATATGAAGGTGTTCTATGATTTCATAGCTTTAATCGTTCCACGCATTTACGATTAAACTTTTGAGGTGATTTTTTTTCTTTCTAATAAGTGTTAGACTAACTAAGTTTCGTTTATAGGTGCGGAGGACAAAATCTCTCCCATCTGAAGTCAGTGGCTGTTGGTTTGTGTTTACATCATAAAAAATGGTAAATGCATTGTTGTTTCCTAACCATTTGTTGTCTCTTTTTATTCACGTTCTTATCTAAATTCACTATACGTTCCCCCCCTTCCTTTTGCGTTCCCATTAATTCGTCTCCAAGTGCTTTTCTGTTTTTAACAATTTGGAGTTCATGAACATTGAGTGTCCTTCAGCTATGCTATCCTATGCATTTTGTTTGGATATAATGTTATATGTCCTCAGAATTTTCTTTGTTGTAAATAATTAAGATGCTGGACGGTTTCTAACTTTTACTGTGCCATTCAGAAAATACTATGAGGGTTTGAGATTAATGGTTCGTGATACATATATATTTACCTGGTGTCACTGAATCTGATATGCACCCTTTCATTTACTATAGGAATTGTGATAGTAACTAGCACGAGCATCTTGCTCGTGAAGATCATTAGCAATGTCTTTTAAACTTGTACATAGCTAGATTTTATTATGTCTTTTATTGCATTATTTCTTGATTTACTTTTTTTTGGTTGCGTCCTTGTGGCTTTCAAGTGGGTTTCTAGGCTTTATCTTTGCTCCTGCCCCCTTATTTCTTTTGACAAAAATTATATATGTTCTATAGGTTGTTCTTGCTGCTTCCATTGTTAGCAAGTCTGGCAAAGGTTAGTATTTCCTTCTCCCATTCTTTACTTTCTTCAAGCCCCCTGTTGTAAAAAATATTTGAACTTTCTCTTTCATAAAGATGGTTTCCATTGTTAGGATTTTACACTTTATACTCATTTGCCTCTCTCTTCCACGAACACAAACGCACATTTTTTCTGCCATAGTTTTTCTTCTTCAAGTCTGTGATCAATTTTTGGTTTTGGTTTTGGTTCAAATTTTCTCTCCTACTAACCCTTATCTGTCATTATTTTTGCAGTTCTGGTTTCTAGACAGTTTGTCGATATGTCTCGAATCAGAATTGAGGGCCTTCTTGCTGCTTTTCCCAAGTTGGTTGGAACTGGAAAGCAGCATACATATGTGGAGACAGAAAACGTTCGCTATGTTTACCAGCCAATAGAAGCTCTATACTTGCTTCTTGTAACAAATAAACAGAGTAACATCCTTGAAGATTTGGACACTTTAAGGCTCCTTTCTAAGCTCGTATCCTTTTTTGAGATGGCTTTTAGCTATTCCTGGCACTTTTAAAGCTGATCTTGTGTTGAATTTTGGTCTGTTAGCTTTCAAACGTGATTCTTCTATAATTTCTTTTGTTCTTTAAACTTCTTGGTGATCTTGATTTTGAATTAGTAGTACATTTGAAGTGAAATAGTAAATTTTACATATACTAAAACAAAGCGTGCATTTATTAAATCCTCATTGCTGATGCATTATATAAATGAAAAGAGGAACTCTATTACTTATCAAGTTAATAAACTGCAAAGGAAAATAAAATTTTATACAGTTCATTTTATATGAAGCAAAATCAAGCCTGTTCTGATAAGGTCTTCTGTTTTCCTATTTCTTTATAAGAATGTTTCCCTGACAATAGTTGTGCCCTCTAACGTGTGTATGTGTACACCCTCATACGTGTGTATGTATGGGAACACGCAGAGTTCCATTATCTCTTTATTAATGCATGTTCCCTACCGCATGGAAAAGTTTCTAGTAAGATAGTTCTGTACAAATGTTTTTGTTGAAAATGCTGAGAATGGAGTTATGCTGGTGTCCTTAAATGATTCTAGGTACCTGAATATTCACTCTCTATGGATGAAGAGGGAATCTGCAAAACAGCTTTCGATTTGATTTTTGCTTTTGATGAGGTTATTTCTCTTGGGCACAAGGAAAATGTGACTGTTGCACAGGTTAAGCAATACTGTGAGATGGAGAGTCACGAAGAGAAGTTGCACAAGTTGGTGCTGCAGAGCAAAATCAATGAAACTAAGGATGTCATGAAGCGGAAAGCAAGTGAGATTGACAAAAGCAAGGTATTTTTTTACATACCCTGCGTCATTTTTTCTTTCCAACTGAAATACTCATTTAAGAAATCATTTTCTGAAAAATTAAAATCAATTTGGTAATTGTTCTTTCTTGTCATATATTGCAGATTGAAAAGAATAGGGGTGATAAAGGAGGCTTTATGTCTCTACAGTCTATGGGATCGGGAAAGATTGATAATAGCCTCGGTGACATGGGCATATCATCAGGTGGAGGAGGAGGTGGTTTTGGTAGCAGTTCTGGTTTTGGATTGGGTGGTGATGTGGAGTCCTTTTCTAGCAAGCCTAAAGGTTACTTTTTGTTTAAAATGTTATCTATGATGAGTTGTTAGTTTGTATCGCATATTTGTAGCAGTCACTGGTCCTCACATTCACACTGTAGACACTGTCATAATTACCTTTTAGTTATTGATGACATATTTTATGGCCAATAAAGATTGCCTTTGTATTAAGTGAACACTTACTATTCTACCTTCTATGTCTGTTTTTAGGCGGCCGTCCACCTTCATCTGCTATTGCTCCTCCTAAAGGCCTTGGCATGCAGCTTGGTAAATCGCAAAGGACAAATCAATTCTTGGAATCTTTGAAGGCAGAAGGTGAAGTAATAGTTGAAGATGTACAGCCAAAAGTTGGTCCATCTAGATCTGCTGTCCCACCCCCAACTGATCCTGTTACTCTATCCGTTGAGGAGAAACTCAATGTGTCCCTTAAACGAGATGGTGGAGTCAGTAACTTTGACCTTCAGGGAACACTGTCCCTTCAAATTCTTAACCAAGAAGATGCACACATTCAAGTTCAGGTACTTTGGTGCATTTTAAGGATACTGTATTATAGACACGACAACTTCTCCATGTGTAGGAAGCTAAAAGGTTTTGATCATTTGATAGTTCACGACTTTGGAACTTGGCGCACAGTTTTTTGTCTCAATTTGTTTGTATAGTATTTTGAGCCACCTCTCAGGCACTTGCTTTTTCTCTGAAATTGTTCTTGTAATGTTATTATTTGATTTGCAAAGCTGGTTTGTTCTTTGTTTCACTATCTTGATTCTTTATGCCTTGCTTTCAGATTGAGAATGGTGGGAACCCTGGCATCCTTTTCAAAACTCACCCTAACATGAGCAAAGAGTTATTTTCCAATGAAAACATTCTAGGCCTGAAGGACCCTAACAGGCCATTTCCTACGGGTCAAGGCAGTGAGGCTGGAGTTGGTCTCTTGAAGTGGAGAATGCAAAGTACTGATGAATCAATGGTACCATTAACAAGTGAGTTCAAGTCCTTCTCATATCATTTTTAATTACATATTTTTTAAAAAACTATATTGATTAGGCTTTTGTTGTTGCAGTCAACTGCTGGCCCTCTGTTTCTGGAAATGAAACTTATGTCAGCATTGAATACGAGGCTTCATCAATGTTTGACCTGCGAAATGTTGTCATCTCAGTGCCTCTTCCTGCTCTTCGTGAGGCACCTAGTGTAAGGCAGATTGATGGAGAATGGAGGTATATAGTTACTCTTTCAAGTTTTTGTCTGATTTTGTTCTTTCATTGACATTCAATCGTAACATACATAAATTCTTTATTTGAAGGGGGACTTTTCTCGTTGGCCTTTTAAAACTCGTTTGATTAAAATAATTTTTAAAAGCTTGTTCATGCTTAAAAAACTGGGACATGGCAACAAGAAAAAAGTTGATAAATTCTTCTTTAACAATTTTCAATGTTTAGAACATTTGGAACGGCAAAACTGACTGCGAGTTTTTTGAATATATGAATTACATGATTACAATGAAGCGGGGTTCCAAATCACTCTCCTTTTCAATTTGAACCCACTTTTGCTCCGCCCCTTTCCTATTGATTTTAACTCGTTTTTGCTCAACATGTAGGTATGATTCCAGGAATTCTGTCTTGGAGTGGTCCATAGTTCTCATTGATAACTCAAACCGCAGGTATGTAGTTTCTGAAATCCTCTCTCCCTGCTTGACGTTGTTACCCTATTATAATTGCATGCTGATGTTTATTATTTATCGTATCTTTTTGACAGTGGATCTATGGAGTTCGTTGTTCCTCCAGCAGATTCATCGGTATTTTTCCCCATTTCTGTCCGGTTTTCAGCAACTAGCACATTTAGCGACGTGAAGGTACTTGTTCTGCCCTCACTTGAAATTTCTCAATAACCATTGTCATAATTACTCCTATTAGACTGCTATCCGAACTAGCGATCCTCATTAGACTGACTTTTTTCTCTCATTCACGTCTTTCACATCATCTTTATCCTGGAAAAGCAAAATAAGATTTGGACCACTCTCTCCTTCTCATCTTTATTTGACTTCATCTGCATTTCCTGAACGTTGGTTTGTAAATTTCACTGTCGCAGGTTGTCAACATTCTGCCTCTCAAGGGCGGTGCTCCTCCCAAATATGCTCAGAGAACACAGTTGATTACGGAAAATTACCAAGTTGTGTGATTGGTGATGTCTTTGTATTACCTTTTTCCCCACATTTTGCACCGAGAAATTTAGTGATTTGATCTGTTTTACTCTCTCTTTTTCTTTTTTTATACTGTTTTTGGAATCTATTCAAAACTCGAAACGGTCATAATTAATTTCATTCATCCAGTTACTTTTATATTTATATATGCATCTCTCTCTATTTACGTATACATATATTCATTCTTTCCAAAGAAGACTGTCTTGCCTAGGGCTACAACCAAAACCGCTTCATCCGAGTGGGAACTGCCAACGGTCCATTCCGGTTCAGATTTTTTTTACTATTTTTTATTTATTAATTTTCATCTCCTTCCTAGATTAGTACCGAGATTCTTTTTTAATTATTTTTCAAAGAGTTTCGTAAATCTATTTCCTATTTTTTTTTAATTGTAATTTTGACTTGATTTGGATAGGATTTGGGAATCCAAATTTATCTCAATTTCCAAAATCTTTATTTGGTTAGAAAAATAATTTTTAAAATGTTTTCTTTTTTTTTTTGGTTCTTTAAATTACTAATTAAAAGAACTCTAATTTGCTATTACTTTAGAAGGTGCCTTACAAATAATAAAAAAATCCCAAAATAAATGGGATGATCTAATTAGATTTAGCTTTAATCTATTTTCTCAAAAAGTATGATTATAATAATAATAATTATTATTATTATTGTTAATTTGGGAAACCAAAAAAAATGAATTTATAGCCAAAAGAAATAATAATAATATGAGGTCATTAGTAAGTAGCCATTGACCTATGTCTGAAATTATTTAATTATTAAAAATGTAGAACTAAACTCCAACATCCCCCCAGGCCATAAAAGCAAATGGACTAAATTCACATTCCGCCCCATAAGTTGATTTTCTTTTCAGTTAGGCCCCTGGACAGCTGGTTTATTACAATACTTGCCCCCTAAGATGTCAAGAAACCAAAGCCTCACATAATTATAGCTAAAAGTAGAAAATAGAAAATTTCCAGAGGAAAAGGAAAGTCATTAAAAAAACAATTAAATACGAAGCCACGGGAAGTGGAAGCATTTTAATTAGGTTTGTTTGATTATTAATTAATTAATTATTTATTTTTTGAACAGTCTTGTCTACTGTGAAATTTTGACCTTTCGCTTTCTGGATCTAGGGTTTCATGTCATTGACGACCCCTTCGTTATCGCCAAAATACGAGCCCTAGGATTACCATACCACCACCGAGACAAAACAAGAGTTCCCCAAACCAGAGATCGAGTAGATTAGAGTTTTTTTTTTTCTCTTTGTTCTTGTTGGTTCATCATCATCATCATCAATCAGGATCGTAAATTTTTCCATGAAAAAAGAACCTGAATCTTCGTTTGTTCTGTTATTTCTCGACAGATCGGTGGTTTAAATTTGCAAAAAAATGGATCAAATCTAAAGCATTCTGGACGATCATGATCTTTTTAAAATTTCTCATTAACCCATGGGATTATATAGAAAGAAACTTCACGAATTTCCGGAGCCAAAAAGCCAAGCAGTGACATATTGAGGAGGGAGATTTGGAGGGAAAATGTATAAGTCGGTGGTTTACCAAGGGGATGAGCTACTGGGAGAGGTAGAGATTTACCCAGAAGAAAAGAATGGCAACAAGAACATCGGAGTGAAGGAAATCAGAATAAGTCACTTCTCGCAACCGAGTGAGAGGTGCCCACCACTTGCAGTGCTTCATACCATTGCAGCCTCTGGAATTTGCTTCAAAATGGAGTCAAAGACCTCGCAGTTACAGGACACGCCGCTCTATCAATTGCATTCCTCGTGTATCATGGAGAATAAGGTATAAAAACACAACTCAATGATAAAGAAAGGAGACCCAAAGACAAAAGTTAAAAAGAAAAAAAAAAAAGAGATTAATACGAACTAGGAAAAGAAAATCTGTATTCTAAAGCACTCTCTGCTCATCTTCTGGCAAGGACTAGAAACGTTCCAATCATGTTGAGAAAACTTGTCACTTTAGTTGAGAATGATACTGCAATTTTGCCTCACATTTTGTGACTTTTGTATGATATCTGCAACTTACCCCCGATTATCTTTCTATACATGTCTCGGTTAAACCTACGGAGCAAAATGAATGTGCTTTTGATGGCAAAATCTAACTCATAGACTTAGGTTCAGAGGAAGTTCACTTCTTTCCTTCTTTCTTCCTGTTTTCTTTCTTTATGTTTTGCTGGTGATATTCTTTTGAAGATTTTGATGCTGGTAGTTTCAACATTGTATTATACCAAGGATTTTGTTCTGCAAGCCAATTAAAGCAACTATTTCAACAAGCTGAAATTGGTGTAGATGCTTATTGGATGGGAGTACTTGGTTGGCCGCTGGATTTGATTTTTTAAACTTCTAATCCTACTTATGGTTCTGTTGTTTTATCTAGTTGGAATAATTTCTGCTTTCTTATTGCATATTGTTTTAGTTTTCATCGATGAGGTGACCTATTCTTCCTTGTTCTGTTGTCCTTAATATGGATGTGTTACCAAAACTGATGACTGGGATTTGCTTCCAACAGACTGCTATAATGATGTTTGGAGCGGAGGAGCTCCATTTGGTAGCCATGTATTCTAGAGATCATGATAAGCAGTATCCATGTTTCTGGGGTTTCATTGTTGCAATTGGACTTTACAATTCTTGTCTCATCATGTTGAATCTTAGATGTCTTGGCATTGTATTTGATCTTGATGAGACACTTGTGGTTGCAAATACAATGCGCTCATTTGAGGATAGAATTGAAGCCCTGCAGAGGAAAATAAGCAGTGAGTTGGATCAACAGCGTGCTTCAGGCATGCAGGCAGAGGTTAAACGATATCAAGATGACAAGTTAATTCTGAAGCAATATGCAGAAAATGACCAGATTATTGAGAATGGAAAAGTGATTAAAAGTCAATCAGAGGTTGTTCCAGCATTGTCTGGCAATCATCAACCTATTGTTCGACCAATATTACGATTGTATGAAAAGAATATTATACTGACTCGTATCAACCCCCAGGTAACTAGGTTTTGTGTACCCTTTGCTTGCAGTTATAAATTTATGTCCAATGATTGTGCAGGGACCATGAACAATCATTTTCTCTTGTTTTTCACTTTGACTGTTCATATATTCACATTGCTTTTTTTTCTACTATTCCTTTGTCATATTTTTCTCTTTGTTTTTATGAGTCTCGTAATTTGTCTATGTATCTGTAATGGTAATGCATGAAGATACTTCGATATTAAGTTTGTTTGTCTGAGACAAGATTACATTGATTTAAGTGGTGCGTGAGTTGTTTTGTTTAAGAATGTATCATTTAGGCTAATTTATTGCATAATGGAAGTTACAAACTATTTTATGAAATCATGGAGTGATAGTTCTATTATCTCATCTACTGCTGTACTTCCACAGATACGTGATACAAGTGTTCTCGTCAAGTTAAGACCTGCCTGGGAAGATCTTCGGAGCTACTTGACTGCAAGAGGTCGCAAGCGTTTTGAGGTCTATGTGTGTACAATGGCTGAAAGGGATTATGCTTTGGAGATGTGGAGGCTTCTTGATCCAGATTCAAATTTGATAAATCCTAAGGAATTGTTGGATCGCATTGTTTGCGTCAAGTCTGGTTAGTAAGTTTAAGCTAATTTCAAAGAAGAAAAAGATCCCTTACCAAACCAGTAGCACTTTTTGATTTTTCATACACTTTTTTCCTAGGGAATGGTATAGCATGGCAATTTGTTGATGAGGGAAATAATTCTGAAACTGCTTACAGTCATGCCTATAGTTTTTCAGCAATCTTAAAGATTCTCAAATTACTTTTTTGTTAATACTCTTTTGGCCCATGTCATTAGGTTCTAGAAAGTCTTTGTTCAACGTCTTCCAAGATGGGTTTTGCCACCCAAAGATGGCTCTAGTAATTGATGATCGTTTGAAAGTGTGGGATGAAAAGGATCAACCTCGAGTGCATGTCGTGCCTGCATTTGCTCCTTACTATGCCCCTAATGCTGAAGTATATTCTTACTTGCATTTTGGCATTTCAGTTTGAAAGATTTCATAAAAAGTCACCCTGCTGTTTTATCTCAAGTTGCATTTTTTTTTCTTCCTTTTTATAGGGAAACAATGCTGTCCCTGTTTTATGCGTGGCAAGAAACGTTGCGTGCAATGTTAGAGGTGGTTTTTTCAAGTAAGGTTCAGAAGATTGCTAAAGTTCCTTTCAAAAGGATATGCATTCGGTTATCTTATTCTTTATACTTAAAAATTAAGGTTTTAGCGCTGGAAGATGGTTCTAGTTCATGCATATTCTCATTCGTTAGTTACAACCTTTATCTGATTTCAGGGAATTTGATGAGATCCTTCTGCAAAAAATTTCTGATATCTCATATGAAGATGATGCAAATGATATTCCGTCTCCTCCTGATGTGAGCAACTATCTTGTTTCAGAGGTCAGTAAGGATTTCTTATCAAACTCTTTTCCCCTAAAACAATCAAGTTTAGTTTTGAAACGAGGTCATGTTGTACTTTTTTTTTTTGGGGG